GGAAACCAGATGAACATTGGGCATTTTAGATTTTCTCGTACATTAGCGCGAACCCTCTTGAATTGGTCGACAGTTCGCAGCTCATAAAACATTGTTTACGTTGTTGAGGAATTCCACCAAAGTTTTTTTTACGCCGTCATGTAACTTTATGAACACCTTCCTGAGAGGGACCCGGATTTACGGCCTCTGTGTCTGCTCTACAACTTGCTTAAAAATAGTTTATAATAGTTCATAATTGGTATTGGATGCATGACTCTTCTACTTACTGCAGACAGTGCCAGCTTCTGGGAACAAATTCTGTGATATATTGTGATTCATGTTCCTCACATTATTCAAAGACGTTTATTATGTTCTGCACATGAACTGAAACCAACTTAACTGAGGGTAGTGCAAAAATGTTATCTTGAACATTCAGGAAACAGGACCTTATTACAGACAAGACTTCATTGTTTTCTTAATTGACAACTCTCACATCATAGAGTAACAACAAGCAGACATCATAGAGTCACAACAAGCCTCAAATGGAAAAGCCCAGAGGAAAGAGAAAACACTAAAGTCAAACAGATCATTATTTAATTAAATATTCCATTACTTTGCTGAACTGTAATTATCTTTAATTGCATGCATAAAATATTGCGATACTGAACAGAATAGATTTTCCCACCACCTCTTCTCCTTTTGAGCATACAGTAATGCATCATATCTCTACAATGATTTAAGTGACTGCAACTGAATGCATTTGAAAAACAACACATAAACATAAATATGTTTCTGGTCATTAGGTTTCTTCTTTCAGTTTGTGGAACAGGCTGAGACAGTTCTCTCTCTTTGTAATAAAAATGCAGTCTGTCCAGTCCTCGTCAGTCGCTCTGTTAGCTTGTCCTCACAACGTCTTTGATCTGTTGAATAGCTTTTTCTAAGAACAAGTTAAGACTAGAGTTTATCACTCGGTACGGAAACTAAACGGTACTAAAGTGTGACTGAAGGCTAAAATTTGATTTTAATAATCACAAAATGTTTTTCATTTAGCCAAATACCCCTTCTGTCCATTAGTAGTTGCTAGAAATTAACTGTTTAATTTGAGTATGATCAAAGTAGTTTAATTTAAGCAATTAATTGGCTTTTGAAAAAACGATTTTGTGAAAAATGAAGAATGAAGGATATTGTGAGAGTTCCAGCAGCACCTGAATTATACTTGCAATATCAGCACAGTTTTTACAAGACTTTTATATTATGTATTGGGGGAAACAAAATAGAAATAGTTTTGAAACTTGAATATTGAGCGGAAAGATCAAAAAATATTTTTAAGGGCAATGTCTTTGGTGGCTTTAATAAAAAACGATTTAAAATCGAAATCGTCCAAAGCAGGAAATAAAATCGAGATTTAACTTTTTTTTGCCATATCGCCCAGCCCTAGATCAGAGCTATTACTTTTATTTAGTAAATGTGATGCTATGATCATTTTATTTTTTCAAGTTCCATCCATCCATCCATTTTCTACTCTTTAATCCATTCCAGGCCAGGGTTAATTGACCGAAATCATCACATCTGACACATATTTTTCAAGGGTCATTTAAATGTGTATTTAATTTTTTAATTTCTTTTTAATTCAAGTGATTTCCTGATGTTGTGTTAGCCATGTTAAGCTGTGAGAGTTCATCTGCTGCTCTGTCACTGATGACCTTTTATTTTCTATGTAACTGGAGTCACTGTAGAATTATCAAATCAGAGGTTGTTTAAAATTTCGCCAAAAATGTATATGTCAATCTTTTCTTTTGATTTTATCCGCACTATCTCTTTGATATGTCTGTGTTTTAAATCTTTTTTTCTAATCTATGACAGTAATTTTTGTTTTTGAGTCAAAACCTTTTAAAGTTCAGATACTTTAATTGACACTTTTGATGCTGAGCATCAGCAGAAGACCAGTCCCTGCGCTCCTCAGATTCCCAACAGGAGTCCCGTCCCTGTGCTCCTCAGAGCTGGTCCATACAGCACTAACACTACACACAGTACCTTGGTACGAGGCCATTGTACACAAGCAGAGATGTTTTAAAGTCTATTCCCTCAGCCACAGGAAGCAGAGACCTGAGGACTAATGTGATGGTACTTCCTGGTTCCTGAGACAAATGGATGGATAGAAATCTCAAAGTCTGCTTTAGACACACTATTTTTGACCCTGGGAATGTTTTTCAGGCCCCGTCCACACGTAGCCGGGTATCTGCTAAACCGCAGAGATTTTTCTTCGTTTGAACCTGTCATCCACATGACAACGCATCATAAACGAATATTTAAAAAACCTCCGGGCAAAGTGGAGATTTTTGAAAACTCAGTTTATGCATTTGCGTGTAGACAGAGATAACCAGAGTTTTGTGTTTTCGCACGTCACAGTATGCCCCCAAACAACCACAAACAACACGTGCAACCTCTGATCACTGAGGAAGCATGGATCTTACTGCCTTAAAAACTGTCCACTGCGGCGAGCGGTTCGCAGCAGCAATCCTCACTCCACATCAGAGAGCAGCAAAGTGATCACGAGGACTCACGCTCAAAAACAACCAAAACAGGAGCTAAACCAGGATCAAACCAGGACTTAACCAGGGCTGAGGACGGGGTCAGTGCTTGTAAACATATGTCTTTACCCTGACTTTCTTCTAAGACTGTAAAAGTGCCGCTACAGGATTACCGGCGTCAGTATCAAAGCTCCGCCCACTTATGTGTTTTTTCTCCTACGCAGGACATCAGAGGACTGAAAACGCAGATGTTCGGTTATGTGTGGATGCAAATTGTTTTATAAACGGAGGGGGGGAAATATTAGGTTTTAAAAATACCCGGCTACGTGTGGACATGGCCTCAGATGTTAAAAAAACTGCTGATGTTACTGATTTGATGTGGTTGTTCAAATGTAAGCCTTAGTCCAGTATTACTCCTAGATATCTGACTGGTTTTAGGGAGAGACACTGGAGGAAACGCTCTCTCTTTGTTTCTGGGACCAAAGACGATCTCGTATGTTAAATCTAACCCGAAGAGAGATGGTTGTGGTCTGTTAGCCTGGTGTGGGTTTCATCCTTCCTCATTCAGGTTCCTCGCCTCTGTTGTTAGTGAGACGCGGTCCACACAGTCTAAAAATAGCCTCAATATCAAACTCCTCCTCTGGACTGGGACAAGCGCTGGTCCTGGGTTACATAAGAGACTCTCTGAGGCTGAACCAGCACTGACCCAGCTCAGAACTCTGATCTCTCTCTGGTTTCTCTCTTTGGTCTCTCTCTCTGGTCTCTCTCTGGTTCCTCTCTCTGGTCTTTCTCTCTGGTCTCTCTTTGATCTTCCTGGTCTCTCTCTGGTCACTCTCTCTGGTCTCTGGTGTCTCTGCTCTGTCTTTGTGGTCCATCTCTGGTCTCTCTCTCTGGTCTCTCTTTGATCTTCCTGGTCTCTCTCTCTGGTCTCTGGTGTCTCTGCTCTGTCTTTGTGGTCTATCTCTCTGGAGTCTCTCTCTGTAATCTCTCTGTTCTCTCTCACTCTGAACTCTCTCTTTGGTCTCTCTCTAGTCTCTCCCTCTGGTCTCTGGTTGAAATTGGCGAATGGAATCAAAAGTGTGTGCACTGGTATTTTATAGTATGGCTCTTTGTCCACCCCTTCTGTCTCTCTCATCCTCTCCCGCTCTCCTCTTTTCTCCTCTCCTCCTCTACTCTCTGACACTCTCCCCCTCTGTACTTATGCCAGTCTGCCCTTTGCCACTCTCTCCCTCTGCTTCTCCCCCCTCTCCTCTTTCCCTCTCCTCTTTCCCTCTCCTCCTCTCGTCCTCTGTCCTTCTCCCCATCTGCCTCTCTCTCTCTCTCTCCCTCTGCCCCTCTGGCCCTATCCCACTCTACAATTTGCGTCTTCCTCCTCTCCCCCTCTGCTCTCCTCTCCTCTTTCCCTCTCCTCCTCTGGTCCTTTGTCCTTCTCCCCCATGCCTCTCTCTCTGCCTCTCTGGCCTAATGCCACTCTGTCCTTTGCACCCCCCACTCTCCTTCTCTCCCCCTCTCTTCCCTCTCTCCCCTCTGTCCTGCTGGTCTGTCTGCAGATGACACTGAGGCGCTCTGAAAGTCCCTCTCAGCGTTTGTCGTGTGTTTGTAACCAGAGCAGAAAGGAAAAGATTAAATCGGGCCGACATAATTTGTTCCTATTTTAGGAGTGAGACCGAAGAGCCGCACTCACAGTGATGGGACGCACTCACAGTGATGGGACGCAGGCCTCAAAAAGGCACGGTTTTTAAAGACTATTTATTAGATATGAAATTAGAGGTGATGGGATTTGGATGAAGATATTTTTGCCTCGATTAATTTTTGTTGCTTCTGGCTTGAGTCCAGAACAGATCAATTCACTTATTAATATTCCCTTCAGCTCTCTCTCTTGTCTCTCTCTTTGGTCTCTCTCTGGTCTCTCTCTCTCTAGGCTCTCTCTGCTTTCTTTCTCTCTCTGATTTCTACCTCTGGTCTTTCTCTGGTCTCTCTCTGCTCTCTCTCTCTCTGGTCTCTCTCTAGTCTCTGGTTTCTCTTTGCTCTCTCTCTGGTATCTGGTTCCTCTTGTTTCTCTCTGGTCTCTTTGGTCCCTGGTTTCTCTCTGGTTGTTCTCTGGTTTGCGGTCTCTCTCTGGTCTCTCTGGTGTCTGGTTTCTCTCTCTTGTCTCTATATCAACTATAGTCTCGTTAATTTCTTATAACACGGAGACAACAGGACATTCTCTTTTTCGAACATGTCTTTCAAAAATGGTCTCTTTCCCACAGAGATGATTTGGCAACTGCTGAAACACTGAAATACAAGTTTACAACATGAACTCAACCTATTGAACCGACTGTCTTTGTGTGTGTTTGAGTGGTTTGTAGTTACATGGAATTCATTACATTTTGTTGTTTGAAAGTTACGTGCCCCAGCTTTAAGACAACAAACTTACGTCCTTACACTTATTTTTCCCCGAGGAGACTTGCAGAATCTGATCTTTCTTCTAAACCTGTTTCGTTACAGCCAACCTGACGGGGCATGTGGAGAGAGTGGGGATCGAGAACTTTGAGCTCCTAAAGGTGCTGGGGACCGGAGGTGAGTTCTCCAAATGCAGACACTGAAAAGAGTGTTATCTCAGCGCACAGGGCTCTGATGTGAGGCCCAGTTTAAAAACAGCTGTTTTACACCAACAGGAAGCAGCCTCAAACATGCTCACACTTAAAACAGTTTGGAATCAGGGAGAAAGAAGCTTGACCATTTTGTCCTTTTTTTGCTTTGACTTTTTAGACTTTTAATGTGAATTAATTCTTTAAGTGGAAAATAAATGAACAAACCTGACGTAAGTAAGGCTGAGTTTACACGGAGACAATGTGGCAGTAAAACGGTATAGTTGGATGTCGGTTGCTACCAACCGTTCATACGAAGACAGTGTTCCAGGGGGGTGAAAACGTAAGTGTTCAGATCCAGCCTGCAGAGTGGGACAACTCAGAAACGCTGCACAGCGGGGGCTCTCTTTCACACCCGCGAGAGGGGAATAGGTGTGAAATCCCCCTCTGCTCTGACCCCCGCCTCCGCGCTGCTCCCCGCACGTAAATTTGGACATGCGCAGTAGCGGAGAACAAACATCAACAATAATGGCGCCGCCCACACTAACTAGCTTCGTGGGCTTCCAGCGCGGGACAGAGGATAATTCTACTCCTTCGTTCGTCCAAACGAGACCACGCGAAGCTCTAGGTTCAGTTCCCATGTTCACAGCTGCTGTTAAAATGCAGAATGATGTTGGTACGTTCTGAGTGTCTGGCACAGGAAGTGAGTACACTGCCGAGAGGGGGGCTGGGCACGGGGCTCGGGGTCGTGTGTCGTGTTGTAAAGTTTCTCTGCCCACTACTGGCCGGGCGCTAGAACTACATCGTTTTTCAACCTCATGTGAACGCTGAGAAATTTGCATTAGGAGCCTGGTCGTTTCTGTTAATAGCCTGGAAACGTCTGCGCAGCGTCTCAGTATAAACAGGGCCTAAGAGATGACAGGAATTAGCAATACTTCTATCTTTTGCACAACTTGAACAATTCTATCTATGCCAAATGTGACACGTACATTTCTCCAGCGTGAGAACAATAAAGTTTATCTTATCTTATCTTACTTCAGTCCACTGGTTGGGACTCTGAGGCTGAGTTTACACGGAGACAATGTGGCAGTAAAACGGTATAGTTGGATGTCGGTTGCTATCAACCGTTCATACGAAGACTGTGTTTCAGGGGGGTGAAAACGTAAGTGTTCAGATCCAGCCTGCAGAGTGGGACAACTCAGGCCCTGTTTATACTGAGACGCTGCGCAGACGTTTCCAGGCCATTAACAGAAACGATCAGGCTCCTAATACAAATTTCTCAGCGTTCACATGAGGTTGAAAAACGATGTAGTTCTAGCGCCCGGCCAGTAGTGGGCAGAGAAACTTTACAACACTCACACGACCCCCAGCCCCGTGCCCAGCCCCCCTCCCGGCAGTATATTCACTTCCTGTGCCAGACCCTCAGAAAGTACCAACATCATTCTGCATTTTAACAGCAGCTGTGAACATGAAAACTGAACCTAGAGCTTCGCGTGGTCTCGTTTGGACGAACGAAGGAGTAGAATTATCCTCTGTGCCGCGCTGGAAGCCCACGTAGCTAGTTAGTGTGCGCGGCGCCATTGTTGTTTTTGTTTGTTCTCCGCTACTGCGCATGTCCAAATTTACGTGCGGGGAGCAGCGCGGAGGCGGGGGTCAGAGCAGAGGGGGATTTCACACCTTTCCCCTCTCGCGGGTGTGAAAGAGAGCCCCCGCTGTGCAGCATATCTGAGTTGTCCCACTCTGCAGGCTGGATCTGAACACTGAAGCCTAGTGTATACTTGCGCGGCGTGGCTTACGTTAGCGTTTGCAGTGGACCTACCTAAGCACAATTGATGTTATACTGGCGCGTTCCCCTTACGGAGTTTTGAGGAGAATGTTGTAATCCCACAACAAACCACATGAGGGCGATCACACAGGAGCGGTCCCATTTACGCTGCTACTTTGTCCTCTTCAGAACAACAATAGCAAACAAAGCTGTTTGAGTTCATTACACGTGTTTCTACTGTAGGTTTATGTGATAGTTTTATGGATTCATTATTTTATAAGTCATTTCAACTGTGATGCTGTGAATAAAGACACAGTTCTTGTTGGAAACATAGTTATTATTAAATAGTTTTCAGCACAAACAGCAAAACAATAATAGTGGTAAATATCTGAGACAAACATGAACGATTTACGAGTGCAGGAGGAAAGCAACAAACGCAGCAACAAACGCAACAAACGCAGCCCAAACTGCTTTTCCTTCGAAGCGTGAAGCAGTCTGCTCCATAGTGCCTCGTCCATGTCCCTGCTGCAGCCGCTCCTTCCAATACACACACACGGACCAATCACAGCGGAGATTCCTTGCGGCGACCCTTACGTAGTTAGAAAATTTCGATGCTGAGCGGCAGGCGACGTAAGGGCCTTGCGGTGACCAACGCGTTGCGCAAGTGACGTCACATCACCTCCGTAAGCTCCGCGCCGCGCGAGTATAAACTAGGCTTTACGTTTTCACCCCCCTGGAACACAGTCTCCGTATGAACGGTTGGTAGCAACCGACATCCAACTATACCGTTTTACTGCCACATTGTCTCCGTGTAAACTCAGCCTCAGAAACGCTGCACAGCGGGGGAGCTCTTTCACACCCGCGAGAGGGGAAAGGTGTGAAATCCCCCTCTGCTCTGACCCCCACCTCCCCGCTGCTCCCCGCACGTAAATTTGGACATGCGCAGTAGCGGAGAACAAACAAAACAACAATGGCGCCGCGCACACTAACTAGCTACGTGGGCTTCCAGCGCGGCACAGAGGATAATTCTACTCCTTCGTTCGTCCAAACCAGACCACGCGAAGCTCTAGGTTCAGTTCCCATTTTCACAGCTGCTGTTAAAATGCAGAATGATGTTGGTACTTTCTGAGGGTCTGGCACAGGAAGTGAATACACTGCCGGGAGGGGGGCTGGGCACGGGGCTGGGGGTCGTGTGAGTGTTGTAAAGTTTCTCTGCCCACTACTGGCCGGGCGCTAGAACTACATCGTTTTTCAACCTCATGTGAACGCTGAGAAATTTGTATTAGGAGCCTGATCGTTTCTGTTAATAGCCTGGAAACGTCTGCTCAGCGTCTCAGTATAAACAGGGCCTAAGGAGCACAGGGACTGGCCTCCTGCTGGTCCCAAGTCAGGACTAAACATGTTAAGATAGTACTTCAGATTCATGCAGCTAAAATTTTTAACAGTCTTTCTAAAAATGTGAGACAGGTTTCTTCTCTGAAAAATCCTTGTGTGATTGTTTCTATCTTGTTTTGTTCAGCACTTTGAGTTGCTGGGCTATACAAATAATTAAAACATATTTTCTAAGCTGAAGACAGCATGTTGTGGTCTAATTTGTTCACAACCTTTTACTTTTATTGCAGAAATAACATTGAGCATGCAGAAACACTTTTCTTCATATCTACTCTCTCCTCTCTGTTTTTCAGCCTATGGGAAGGTGTTTCTGGTCCGCAAAGTGAGTGGTCACGATGCTGGGCAGCTGTACGCCATGAAGGTCCTGAAGAAGGCCACGATCGTGCAGAAAGCAAAGACTGCAGAACACACCAGGACCGAGCGCCAGGTCCTGGAGCACATCCGCCAGTCGCCTTTCCTCGTCACACTGCACTACGCCTTTCAGACCGACACCAAGCTGCACCTCATCCTTGGTAACTGCAGCAGCAGCAGCAGCAGCAGCAGTATCAGTAGCAGTAGTAGACACACACACCTAGGCAAGGAAAGGCAAGGCAAGTGTATTTGTATAGAACAATTCATACACAAGTGTGCTGAACAAAATAAGAAAGCATCAAAAACATAAATAATCACAGAACATTAAAAAGAAAGATAAACATAAGATAGCCCTCAGTTGTATGCACAGCTAAATAAAACTGTTTTTAACCTGGTTTTAAATATTGTCAGAGAGGAGGCCTGTCTGACATCTTCAGGAAGATTGTTCCAGATTTTAGCAGCATGAATCTGAAAAGCAGCCTCCCCATGTTTAGTTCTGACTCTGGGCACTAACAGGAGTCCAGTCCCTGTGCTCCTCAGAGTCCGGGCTGGTTCATATGGGACTAACATGTCACTAATATAGTTTGGTGCGAGGCCATGGAGAGACTTGTACACAAGCAGAGCTGTTTTAAAGTCTATTCTCTGAGCCACAGGAAGCCAGTGCAGAGACCTGAGGACTGGACTAATATGGTCGTACTTCCTGGTTCTAGTCAGGACTCGAGCTGCTGCATTTTGAATGTACTGCAGCTGTTTTACAGCCTGTTTGGACAGACCTGTGAGCAGGCCATTGCAGTAGTCTAACCTACTGGAGACAAATGCATGGATAAGAATCTCCAAGTCTGCTTTAGACACTATATTTTTGATCCTGGCAATGTTTTTTAGATGGTAAAAAGCTGCTGATGTTACTGATTTGATGTGGCTATTAAAATTTAAGTCTGAGTCCAGTATTACCCCTAGATTTCTGACCTTGTTTGAAGGTTTTAGGGAGAGAGACTGGAGGTGACAGATGACGCTCTCTCTTTGTTTCAAGACAATCATTTCAGTTTTGTCTGCGTTTAGCTGAAGGAAGTTGTTTTGCATCCACTCACTGATCTGTTGGATACAGTGAAGGAGTGAGTCCACTGGTCCATGTTCTCCTGCAGTCAGTGAGACATAGATCTGAGTGTCGTCTGCATAGTTATGATAGGAAACTTTGTTTCTGCGTATTAACTGACCTAACGGCAGCATGTAGAGATTGAACAGAAGAGATCCGAGGATCGACCCCTGTGGTACTCCACAGGTCAGGGCCATATGATCTGAGACACAGTTCCCAATGTAAGACCTAAACCAATTTAGGGGGGTGCCAGCGACGCCAACCCAGTCCTCTAATCTCTGTAAGAGGATCTCATGGTCGACAGTGTCAAAAGCTGCACTTAGATCTAACAAGATTAAGATTGAGACTTTGCCTGTGTCAGTGTTCAGCCGTATATCGTTTGTAACCTTGATGAGAGCAGTCTCAGTGCTGTGGTGGGGTCTAAAGCCGGACTGAGACATATCAAATGAGTTGTTGATTATAAGAAATTTGAGATAGGACGATAGTTGTTAAGTACCGTAGCATCCAGACTGCTCTTTTTTAGCAGGGCCTTGCAGTTTTCAGGGCCTTTGGGAATATTCCAGAATGAAGGGACATGTTTACTATCTGTGTGAGTGTAGGTAACAGACTGCCCAGAACAGACCTCAGAAATCTAGTGGGTAGTGTACATCCATGCTGCATGTGGAGGAGCTCAGACTTGTGATTATCTCTTGGACAGTTTTATCATTTACAGGTGCAAAGTGAGTTAGCTCAAAGAGCCTTTCTGGCTGTTGGGTCGTTATCTGTGGATTGGAGACAATGGCGTTTTTGATGCCTTGAACCTTGTCATTACATTTTCATTTTCATTTTCGTTTGGAAGTTAGCTCTAATGGCATCTGAACAGGGGGGTTTGTTAACCTATTAACTGTTGAAAACAGAACACGCAGATTGTTGCTGCAGGAAAGTTTATTTGTATATCACAGTTCATACACAAGGCAACTCAAAGTGCTGAGCAAATCAACTATCACTCAATGATTAAAACTGACCTCAGTACATTAAAAAAGAGTGAAACAGAACTGTTTTTAATCTGGATTTTAACATTATCAGAGAAGAGGCCTGTCTCACATTTTCAGGATTTTAGCTGCATAAATCTGAAACACTCGCCATCAGATTCAGATTCAGATTCAGATTCAGATTCAGATTCAGATTTCAGATTCAGATTCATTTATTTCGCCATTTGCAGTATGTATACACCACATTGGAATACATTTGTAAAAGTTCCCCGTGTGCACAGGACAAGTACAGACACAAAACAACATTAAAAGACAAAAATAAAACAAATTTTAAAAACAGTAAACAAATGTCACAACAAATGTCACCGTGAAGTTGACCAACTTAAAACAGATCTATACGAGTGCAAAACATTAAAGTGCTCTATTCAAACTGTTAACAGCTCGTGGAAAAAAACTGTTAGCATGACGAGATGTCCTGCATCTCAGGGAACAGTATCTTCTGCCAGAGGAAAGAAGCTGGAACAAGGCTTTTCCTGGGTGGCCAGAAGAGTCTCTGATAATTCTCAGGGCACTGTTAAAAAGTCTGGATTGATAAAGAACCTCCAGAACAGGAAGCTCGCAGCCCACGGTCCTCTCTGCAGAGCGGAGCACCTTGTTTAGAGCTCTCTTTTCTTTATCTGTGATGTTACCGAACCACACAGACACAGAACCAACAAGCAAACTCTCAATGGTGCAGCGATAAAAGTTCAGCAGAATCTTAGAGTTAGTGGTAAATTCTCTAAGTTTCCGCAGGAAGTAGAGACGCTGACGAGCTTTCTTTACGACCCGGTCAGTGTTTTTAACCCATTTCAGGTCATTAGACAGAGTTAGACACAGAAACTTACACTCCTCTACAATCTGCACTTGGGAGTTATCGATTGCGACAGGCAAATGAGAACTATTGCAACTGAAATCAAAGACCAGTTCGCATGTTTTGGATGCGTTCAGCTGGAGGTTGTTAGCCTTACTCCACTGAGCCATGTTTACTCCTGACTTTGGGTTTATTCCTCTTCACCCTCATTCTAATATAAATGTTACCAAAAGCAGCAGATCCTCAGGGATTCAGATTCCCAGTGTTCTCCCGAGGTTTAAAACTCCCAATAAAAGCAGAGGCTGAGTCCAGGGCAGCAGCTGCATCTCAACATTAGAATAACACAGAACAAACCAAACCAAACCGAGGCATTTCTGATGTCTTTTCTGTTCTTGTTTCTCCTTCAGATTACGTCAACGGAGGAGAACTGTTCACACATTTAGTTCAAAGAGTTCGGTTTAAAGAACAGGAGGTGGCGCTGTACAGTGGAGAGATAGTGCTGGCCCTGGAGCATCTACACAAGGTGAGAATGAAGTTTACTGTATTAGTATTATTCATTTATTTATGTTTTGATTTGTTTGATAGGGACAAGTATAGCCTTATCAACATGTGAAACATTTGTGGCCAAGGCTGATTTGCAATGTCCCACCCTAGAAGTTCCTAAATTAGTAATGATTCATTTTGATTCAGTTTGTGAATCTGTATGTTTGTTTTTGCAGTTGGGAATCGTGTACAGGGACCTGAAGTTGGAAAACATTCTTTTGGACTCCAGTGGGCACATTGTTCTGACGGATTTTGGACTCAGTAAAGAGTTTGATCAGGTACAAGTTACAAAAATATATTGAATTGAATTGAAAATGTGGATAAAGCATTGAACCAAATTTAGCTTCTTCCACATATGATTATTATGTGCTTATAGATTACACAGTGCTCTGATGAGTTTGGGGTAAAAAAATAATTGTTTTTAACTCAGTCTGTCCAATTTTTTTCTCAGTTGGAGAGGGCTTTCTCTGTGTGCGGCACCATCGAGTACATGGCTCCGGAGATCGTGGAAGGAGGAGAGTCGGGGCATGACAAGGTTCTGTGTGTTCTGTGGTTCTCTGCCTCCTCTGGTTCCTTCTATAGTCTCTGGTGTTGATGGTTGCAGGCGGTGGACTGGTGGAGTCTGGGAGTCCTGATGTACGAGCTGCTGACCGGAGGATCCCCCTTCACTGTGGACGGAGACGAGAACTCTCACACAGACATCGCAAAGTAATAATTCTGGTAGAAATATCATTGAGCTTGTTTATTTTAGCTCTGGTTTCAATAAGCTCTACCCACAATACAGCTTCTAGTCGTCTCAGGCGAATGCATGGTTTTACTGAATCTATTCCAATAGATCACCTTTAATTTTTATCTATTCATTTCTGACTATCTTCCAAACAGAAATACGCTATTGTAATTTACTGTATTTACATATTATACATGAAACAAGCATACATATGTACATAAGCAGACAGCCAGTCATACACACTTTCTAGGGATTGCTTTGTTGTTGTCCTGTGAACGCCTGAAAGGAAGTGAATCTTCAGTGTGCCTTTAAAACAAATTATTTCCTCCATGTTTTGCATTTTCTTCATATAAAATCTAACTTTGACACAGAAGAGAAAGTAATAAAAACCTTTTTTCTCTCTTTGGACAGACATGCCCAATGTTTGGCTCCAGCTTTTAGAGCCAAACATTGGGCATAATACAGTTTTAATTTGCCACTTCTCAAATCTCAGATCAGAAAATGAAGCCTCAAGTGAGAGTCAAAAAGTTTTTACTTTGAAAACGGCAGGTGCAGATTAAACCTTTGAAGTTTTAAATCGGAGGAATCCATATGTCTATTTTAACTCATCAGAATGATCTATGAGTGCTACTGTATCATATACAACAGCCCAGTTTGTCTTGATGCAGAAATACTGCTCAGACCATTTTCTGTCTGCTGTCTCTCAGGAGGATTTGTAAAAAGGACCCTCCCTTCCCTAAAAACGTGGGACCTCTGGCCAAAGACCTGATCCAGAGACTCTTGGTCAAAGACCCAAAGAACAGGCTGGGATCAGGGCCGGGCGGCGCGGAAAACCTCAAGAATCACCCCTTTTATCAGGTACCAGATTCTAGTCACTTAAATCTATGACATAAAGTACCAATGTTTGCACCATGTAGCAATTTATCTCTCTTGTTGTTGTGGCAGACCTGTGTCCTTATCTTAACATTGGCAAGTAGTTCAAATCCTCTTTAAAAGTATAAAATGGGGAAACTTGTAATGAATTGTGCTTTCATTAGTTGCTTTATGTCAATTGATTAAGATGTACAGACTTTCTGGTCTCTCTCTGGTCTCTCTCTGGTCTCTCTCTGGTCTCTCTCTCAGGTCTCTTTGGTCTCTCTTTGGTCTCTCTCTGGTCTCTCTCTCAGGTCTCTTTGGTCTCTCTTTGGTCTCTCTCTGGTCTCTCTCTCAGGTCTCTTTGGTCTCTCTTTGGTCTCTCTCTGGTCTCTCTCTCAGGTCTCTTTGGTCTCTCTTTGGTCTCTCTCTGGTCTCTCTCTCAGGTCTCTTTGGTCTCTCTTTGGTCTCTCTTTGGTCTCTCTCTGGTCTCTTTCTGATATCTCTGGTCTCTCTCTGATCTCTGTCTGTTCTAAAGCCTCTGGATGTGTCTTTTTGCGTCGTTAGAAGATCATCTGGGAGGACCTGGCGGCGAAGAGGGTCCCTGCTCCGTTCAAACCCGTGATCCGAGACGAGCTAGATGTCAGTAACTTTGCAGAAGAGTTCACGGAGATGGATCCCACGTATTCTCCCGCTGCGCTGCCACAGAACTGCGACCGCATCTTCCAGGTAAGACTCTGACTCAGAGAGGGTCAGTGTGATGGGGAGGATCCTGGAAGATTATCCACCACTGGTCCTTTGGCAATGACCGAAAGGGCGAGATCACGGATAAAAGAGGCCAAAGTTACTTAATTTTGGAGTTACGTAATTATTTGTTTGTTTGTATGGAGGTGTTTCTGCTGCTGGACACCTGTATTTCTGCTACAGGGATCAATAAAGTATTGATGTATCTATCAGTCTGTCTATCTATCGACTTAACTATCAAGTGAGTTTCATTTGCATGCAGAGTGGCTGGATGCTCCTTTAGAGATAAAGTTAAGAGCTCAGTCACACGGGAGGAGCTCGGAGTAGAGCTGCTGCTTCTCCACAGTTGAGGTGGTACCTGTTTTGAATTCCTCTTGAACACCTCTATGGGAAATCAAGACCAAGGGATAATCCAGGGCATGATGGAGAGAGTCTCAGTCTCTCAGCTGGCCTGGGAAGGCCTCAGAGGAAGTGTATGTGGAGAGGGACGGGAGCCCCAACAATCTGGCAATGGATAAAGAGAAAGAACATGGATAGGTCACTGAAAACTAGCATCAAATTGAACTGGATGCAGCGGATGAAGAATATTGAGTTTATTCTTCAAGTTTATTCTTGATCAGAAGTATTGGTTATAGTTTTGCATACTAGTAATACTAACTACTGTTTTCATAGAATCCTGTACCCAGCTTCTTACCGCCTCTGCCTCCAAACCACAACAACTGGGTTCTGTTATTAGCTCTGAGTCCGGCCTTTTGTTTGACTTTGGGAAGAAGAGATGAGGCTTTGTTTCAGCAGCAGCAGCAGCTTAAGCACAAATACTCTCCCACCATTTTTCCTTTTTGCTGTCTAATGTTGTGAAAAAGCTAGTGATGAGAGAATGCATGGATCGTGGGCTGGTTTCGTCCTTTAGGGTTTTAGTTAGGAAGTTGTCAATTCATCAACAACAGATCAGAGAATCAAACAGTTCGAACACAGGAAATGCAATGATAAAAATAAAACCGGGATGAAATTTTAATAAATGTCCTGGATCATCACTGTCTTTCGACCTTCCTGCATCAGAGAGAAACCAATTAAAAAATAGGGAATAATTTGAGAAACCTGAGGCTGTAGATCCAGGACTGATGCTGTAGATCGAGTACTGAGAATGTAAATCCGGCACAGAGGCTGTAGATCCGGAACTGAGGTTTTAGATCCAAGACTGAGGCTGTAGATCTGGGACTGATCTTCAGCCCATACTTATGGTTATTTTCATCTATGTTTCTTTCCTTGGGGCATAAAAGTCTTAATTAAGAATCGATTTTTGAGCCACTTCCTAATAAGACACTGAAAGCTCTATTTACAGTAGCCTGACTTTGAATATACTTCCATTCGATTAGCGATATAGCTCTAATTAACAACAATAGTTATTTCAGAGGACTTAACAAAGCCATGGAATTTGCCAACACAGATCAGAGAATCAAAAACAAGAAATGCAATGATAAAAACACACAGAGCCATTGGTCCATAAGGGGCAGATGACCAAAGTCATGCATAACATTTGTGGTAAAGTCAGTAAGTTAGTGCCTCATGTCTATTTCTATCTCTTTCATTGGTCGAACCATCAGCTCCACAAAAGCCACATCACATTAGTTTGACAGACAGCGGTCGTCCAGCTGTCGCTATTGTTCACGCTGTCATTTCAACAAAACGCCACTGCTTCCTTAATTTGCCCACAGAGAAAGACCCATCATCTACATATTCTCACATCTGCGCCACGATGGACGGAAGCGCTCTTCGTTTCAATGCACTGCCCTCGAAAATTGCCAAGCGCAAATGACTGATTGCGAAAATTACCTCTCTCTTAATGCAATTTTAAATTTGTTTTGTGTGTTAGCGATAACAGGGACAGCTGAAAGATCGACTGAAATTATGAAGCAAATTTTTTGCATCGTGAAAAGTGGCAAAGCGACAAAGTTGGCAATCAAAGCCGGGAGGCGTAGCCACGTCTGTCATCGCCTGGCGCTCTCCAAATATCAGCTTTTCTTCCTCGAGTGAAGACTTTTAAATGGTGGCTATTGATCTCGTGCGGCTCAAGCATCCAGAAAGCAATCAGGAGAGGAGAATTGACGCGGTATAAAGAGACAGACATCAGCTGGCAGTCAGTTTGGGGCTTGCATTACGGTTGAAAGCAGCATCAAAAATAGTCATTCGCATCTGTTACTTCAATGAGGGCTGCATATGGAGGCAATTACGGCAATAACGAGGTCCCTTTGAGTGCGGGTGAATGGGGAACGCACACAGACAAGCCTGTGTTGACTTACAGCAAGGCTTTTGAGGGCATTGAAGACTCGACTTGATTGCTTGGATTGCACTGGAGTATGTCAAATATAGCGCTCGACAAAGACGCAGAGAAAAGGTTTGTACTACGTGTCAACATTTAACAATACAAGATTCAGACTAAACATGATTTCAGACAGAGGAGGGGTCTCAGAGTTGGAGCTCTTCATCTTAAGATCTGTTCTTTAGGATTGTTCCCACTGTGATAAAACCCCAGGGCCCTCTCTTTACACCCTGAGGGACAGAAAAACTCTGTTTTTGACTCACCCTGTGACTTTCTGCTGATGTGTCTTCAGTGTCACCTCTCCCATCGAGAGTTCACCATTACTACCATTAGTACAGTGGTGTCAAACTTTTGTCGGGGACCTAGTTTGGTTGTGGCCAAAACATATTTTTGTATTTTGACTAATTCATTATATTTTACATTAATTTCTAGTAGGTTTGGATTCAGTCGCAACTGGGACGAATATGATAAGATTTATTTGAAGATTCATGGTTAGTGGGGGCGGGTCCCGGTGTAACGCCGAGATACACTGTCTTGAAGAGATGCACTGCCTCAGCTGTTTATGATGTAATGCAAACCTGCGCATGCGCGTCTCACGGCAACCGAAGCAAACCAAGATGGCGGACCGTGAATTGCTAAAAGTTGAAATATGAACGAATTAAGACACGAATGTCACTTTTAATGCAATTTGAGGCGAGATGTTGATGGTCCCGTTTTGTCACATGTGGGTTTTAAGAGTCAAAGTTTCGTGCAAAGTTTAGTTTAAGCAGTCAACTGCGCCTGTGAAACCACAAAGCTAATGTTTTCATAGCAGTCCGCGGCTGCTGACGTAGGCTGATGACTCGTCCTGTGGCAACTCTACACTGGTCTGTCGGGTTGATAATGGAAAATGGGGAAAAAAAACAATCTAATTAAATATTTTGTTTGAACACACTATTGTTAATCATATTAAATACAGTACGATACATGTATTGAATGAAATTTATTATTTCCATTATCAACCCGACAGACCAGTGTAAGAGTTTAGAGTTGCCACAGGACGCGTCATCAGCCTACGTCAGCAGCCGCGGACTGCTATGAAAACATTAGCTTTGTGGTTTCACAGGCGCAGTTGACTGCTTAAACTAAACTTTGCACGAAACTTTGACTCTTAAAACCCACATGTGACAAAACGGGACCATCAACATCTCGCCTCAAATTGCATTAAAAGTGACATTCGTGTCTTAATTCGTTCGTATTTCAACTTTTAAAGCAATTCACGGTCCGCCATCTTGGTTTGCTTCGGCTGCCGTGAGACGCGCATGCGCAGGTTTGCATTACATCATAAACAGCTGAGGCAGTGCATCTCTTCAAGACAGTGTATCTCGGCGTTACACCGGCTCAAAAGTGGCCAAAATGACGTGCGCTGAGATGCTTGCAATACCACCCCGGGCCGATGGGGGTGGACCCGGAATAAGAATTAGCCAATGCTAACATACAGCATCTTCTTACCTCTCGAAAACACCTTTACAGTATGGTCCAAAAGTCGGCTCTTGGCCCAAAGCTCCGTTCCACATGAATTGTGAATTTTTGAAGTGACTCGTTTAAATGAATGGAGCTTGCGCCGGCTGACGCATGCTTTCACAATTTTCTTGAGGGCGGGACCACTCGCACCCATTTTGGATAGCTCCAGTAGAGCACATTTTTTTGGCCCATTTGTTTGAACTGCGGAGATAGGCGTGACTACGTCCGTTAATATATACAGTCTATGGGTTAGATACAGAATATGAAATAATGAAACATATTCACTTATACTGTTGTTTTTCATGAGAAAATAAACTTTAAAAATGAATATAAGATAATGGGGTATATGCTGAAACTTACTGTAATTATGATATCATTTCATGGGCCACTAAAATGTTTTTGTAGTTTAGACAGGAATAAAACAGTTTTCTGTCGCCTTGGAGGACTTTATAAAGTTGTTGATTCCTTAACAACAGATCAGCGAATCAAACACAGGAACTGCAATAATGACACATAGGCATACAATACATGGGTCCATAGGGAGCGGGATGACCACTGTCCAAAAACGTTCATAATATCCCATAATTCCATGATTTGAGCCTCCTGCTTCGGCAAGAAACCACTGAATAATAAAAGTGAGAAAACTTGTGGAGGCCTATATTGAGAGAGATCCAGGACTCATACTGTAGAACGAGTACTGAGGCTGTACTGTAGACCAGGTGAAGGAGATATAACTACACACAAGTCACATAAGGGATGAGCCATGGAGCTGTGTTTGGGTGAATGAAGCTCCTACCAGCAGAGTGTGGGCTGTTGCATGTGCTGCTCTTTTCTTTATAAAGTTGTCTTATTTCTATTTCTTCATATATCTAATTGTTTGTGTGTTTGTGTGTCTGTATGTTTCAGGGCTACTCGTTCATGGCTCCTTCGATCCTCTTTAAGAGAAACGTGGTGATGGACGACGCGGTGGAGCTTTGCGGGTCTTCGGACCGGCCACGCTCCGCTGCCGTGGCTCGCAGCGCCATGATGAAGGTTAGAGATCAGAACGAGACCAGAGAGGGACCAGAAAAAGACCATAGAGAGAAACCAGTGAGAGACCAGAGAGAGACCAGAGAGAGAGTGACCAGTGAGAGATACCAGAGAGAGACAGGAGAGAGAAACCAGTGAGAAAGACCAGAGAGAGACCAGAGAGAAAGACCAGAAACAGACCAGGGAGAAGTTCTAGAGAGAGAGATACCAGGGAGAAACCAGAGAGTGACTAGAATATAATTTTATTTAACGTCATAACACAAACAATTACAAAGTGTAAAATCTTTTACTTTTGCTTTATTCTCCAGGACTCTCCATTCTACATGTCGTATGAGATGGACTTGAAGGACGCGGCTTTAGGAGAGGGGAGTTTTTCAATTTGTCGACGCTGTACGCACAAGAAAACAGGCCAACAGTACGCCGTCAAGATTGTCAGCAAGAGGTCATTACTCTAAAATGGGACATATACAGTGTTATCTCAAAAATTCCCTTGTTGTTAAAGGTCCCATACTTAGCTCTTCTTCATCTTCAGCACACACATACATTTGGCTGCCTCTGGAGAACGGAAGAGAAAGATCGCTCTATAACTTAAGTTTGTCGAAAAAACTCCTTTAGTCATGTGATTAGTTATGTTTAAAGTAAAACAAAAAACAGAGAGAAACCAGAGAGAGAGGGAGACCAGAGAAAGAGACCAGAGAGACCATAGAGAGAGACCAGAAAGCGAGCGAAAAAAAACAGAGAGAGAGCAAAGAGAGATCAGAGAGAGAGACTCCCATCACCAGGTCTATAGACCATGGTCGTGGGGAGAAGGAGGGTTGCTACGATAATATAAACTTTGCTGTCCCAAGGGGAAATTTGCTGTAGGATTGCATTTATTATTAATTATTTTGTTTAAAAGTGCCACTTAAAGGTTCCATATTACGCTTTTCTTCATTTTTCACATTCCATCCTATGTGTGTGATAATAATTTGAGTGATACATCATACAAACATTCGAAACTTGTGATATCATAGCCATCTCTTGCATCGAGGTGATGTCATCTAAACTCAAACAAGCTGATCCAGAGAGGAGTCTACTCCTCTGTCTGTGAGCCAGCCGCCCGCCGCCCGCACGGTGACGTAACATCACGCTGCCAGTTGTTTATCTCCTGAGAATAAACGTTTTCCTACGTTGACAATCCGTAACATCGAGGCCTATGTCCGATCCAGAATCGGACCCTAATTATTTAGTTTACAGAAGTATAGCAAGTAAGTAATGTTTATTTATATAAATATTACTTACGCATTTCCTCAACCAACACATCCATTCACTCACTAATTTACATTCATACCTATTGTGCATGTTTTTAGTTGTAGGGGAACTACACAGACACAGGGAGAATATGTAAACTCCACTCAGAAAGGCCTTGTTCCGACTGGGATTCAAACCCAGGACCTCCTTGCTGAGAAGCGAGAGTGCTATCCACTCAGCCACCCTCCTGCACCTGTATACATTGAGTTAGCGTCACTCCATGTTAGCGTCCTTTATCGTGGGAATAACACTGGTTTCTTGATCAGCTTTTCAGTTCAGTTCATGCTAACTGTAGTTCTGGAACAGTCTTAGTGAAGTGTCGCAGATGGACACATTAATTCAAACAGAGGCAGATCCCCGTGAAATAAAGTCGAGTCGCACTATTCGTCCTCTTCGAGCCAAATAGTGCGTCAAATATTTACACCAAAAACACATTTTCTCCAAGTTGACATGATCCTAACACCTGTGGTTGCTGACAAAAGCAGAAAAACAGTTTAGCTCCATGTGGTGTCCGCGGGACCAAACCACAGACATACGCTGGACTCGAGAGCTGGACTCGGGAGCTGGACTCGGGAGCTGGACTCGGGAGCTGGACTCGGGAGCTGGACTCGGGAGCTGGACTCGGGAGCTGGACTCGGGAGCTGGACTCGGGAGCTGGACTCGGGAGCTGGACTCGGGTCTGGACTCGGGAGCTAGACTCGGGAGCTGCCTGTGCGCCGTGATTTGCTGTATCGATTTGTCAATCACCTCCAGGATTTTAGTATTATTATTATTTTCATTATTTTGGACAACAAACAGCATATTTATTTTGTATGGTTTTCCCTGTTTTGACGACAGTATTGAACAACCATAAAAATAAAAATAAAACTGGCTTCTGCGCGTCATATTTGTCATCAATGTGGAAATCGTCACAGATGTGGACCCGGGCGTTTCACTGCCTCTCGAGGATAAAGGAGAAAGATCACTCTCTAACTAAAGCTTGAAGGAATCAATGAAAAAACTACTTAATCCACATACATGTGTATGAAGACCAAATAGCAAAGTAACAGATGTTAGATATAACTACACTTTGCTTGCACTAGAATACACAGTACTTTATACTTGCCTCTTATTGCCAAATGTAAAACTTTTACACTTTTTTATTATTATTATTTTCAAGATGGAGATTTTATACTTGTTATTGATGCTAGAGTTAGAGATTTTGTTTTATTTTAATTAGTATAGCTATTGTTGTTCATCACTGCAGTGTAAGGATTCGCATGTAGCGCTGCAGCTGAGAATGATTGACAGATGCTGTTGCCGTTAGCGACAGGGGAAGGACCTGAGCGTTCTTCCAGTCTGAGTTTCCACCTTCGCCTCACATTTTTTCTTTGTTGCAGGATGGAGGCTCAGACACAGAGAGAAATTGCTGCTTTAAAACTCTGTGATGGACATCCCAACATCGTCAAGCTTCACGAGATCTACCACGACCAGGTCTGTGTTTTTATTACAGCGTGAGGCCCCGTTTAAACGGAGATGCTGCGACAGTAAAACGTTAGAGTTGGGTATCGGTTTGGCCTCCTGTTTACATGGAGACAGTGTTTCAAGGGGGTGATGACGCAAGCGTTGAGAAACAGCCTCTGCAAGCCTGTGTCAGACCTGTGAAGCTGTGCAGGGCAGGGCTTGGTTAGTACTGTGATGGGAGACCTCTGAAAACACCAGGTGCCAAACTGTGGTTGTGTCCTTAGGCAAGACACTTCACCCACATTAAAATAAGTCTGGTGTGTGTGTGAATGGTTGGTGGTGGTAGGAGGGGCTGATGGCACAGACTGGTTGCCGCACTTCTGTTAATGTGCCCCAGGGCAGCGGTGGCTATAGTAGAAGTTTATCGCCACTGTGTGATAAACTGAAAGAATAATGAGTCTTTGAGAGTCCAGAGAAGCGCTATTTTAAACACTTGCATTATTGTAATGAGTGAAGCGAATATAAAATGTACATCTTAAGCATAATGAAGAAGTAAGTAAGAATTAAATAATCTCTGACTTTAGCACAATAAGGAAGGAAAAAAGAGTTTTTTTCTTGTTTATAAACTTGAAAACATAGAATAAATAGAATAAATGTATATATTAACTGCAAAGATCATACTGAAACTATAAATTTAACGAAAGTGCTTTAGTTCTTGTTTTAAAAAGCCTTCTTCTTTTCTGTCACTTCCTGATGTTTACTCATAGCAGACATTCTTGACCTGTTGCTCACATTTTTGCAGTGTTTTTCTCTCACAACAAACTCGTAACAAACATCACATTCAGGCCACAGTGTTGTAAGTCTTCCCTTGTTCATTAAAGACCGGATCCAAACTGAACCAGATCCAGATCTTGACCTAGAGCTGTCTTTGTCTCCTTCCACCATAAAGCTATTAGACAGACCCTTTCACACCACAAGTTAATTTTCTCTGAGATGATTATTTTTGTTCTGTGGCTTCAATCCTGGAACATGTTACGCAAAATCATTGTTGCTCGTCATAAACAGACTTTGAAGTTGTAGCATCTTATGTCATGTGGTTCTCTGTTTTTAGACCAAAAGTATTGTATCTAAAGAGTTCAATTACGTACTTTTCTATCTCGTGCCTTCAATTACATAGTGACACGTTATGCCGCTTTTCCATAGTCTCGGTACGGCACGGCACAGCCGAGTGTGGGTGCTTTTCCATTAAAATAGTACCTCTTCAGCGTGGGAGGCGTTGTCAGACCACGTCATTTACGTGTGATTAGTCACCAGTATCATTGGTGTGGTGCATGGATTTATTATAATATCGGTGATAGCTGGTTATTACCTCCTAGGAGTCGGGGACTCTTCTTACCCCCTGCAGAACTGGCTCCTAAAACCTTTTCAGAACACCGGACGAGTGAAAAATTTCAGCACAGCGCGAGTGATTGTTGAAAATGCAATTAAAGGAATGACTCGGACACTGAACTTGTGAAGTCAATGGTGCTGACTCTGTGCTCAGCCCAATCTGTGCGAAAACCATGGAGAGACCATGTGACACCTGTAGCAACAGCAGCTGTGTAGCAGCGGAGGGTCTGATGTGTAACTTTGTCATATGCCTAAACATTAATTTTGCTCTACCAAATGTCTCCATCCTTTTTCATAAATTTACCACGGTTATACGGATTTACTTACAAATATAATGTATGTAATGTAAATAGAAGTAAAAGTATATGGTAGGAAATTGTAACTTTTGCTTTTGAACCCCTTTTATGCATGTGTACAGACAAATGAATGATACAAAGTCCAGATACAATCACAGATTTATTAAAAACAAAAGTAAAGTGCAATACTCCATTAGCTTCCTGAATATGTGAGAAAGGCTTCTTGTCTGACAATGTTCAAATCCAGGTTAAAACAGTTCTGTTAAGCTCTGCTTCACCTGAGGGATTGTATTATTATTATTATTATTGTTTTATTGTCTCTTGTTTTGTGAAGTACTTTAGGTTGCCTTGTGTACGAACTGTGCTATATTAGTGAAACCTTGTCTATCTATGATTCAGGTGAGGGCCAGAGTGATAGGATCTTACGTTGAAGTTGATTACTTGCAAATCATGTCATGATTATGACTGATTGAAAAACTTGATGTCATTACCAAATCATTTAAAAAAAGACATAATGCATTGAGACAATTGTGACATTGTTAAATCATATTTAACAATCCATCCAGCTAAACTAAAAGGTTTTTTGTTATACTGATGTTGTACAATTGGTTTTCTCTCTCGCTTCTCAGCAAAAAGATGCTGGGTTTGATTCCAGCTCCAGACAAACACGTCCTCTCTGAGTGGATTTGCAGCATGTTATCTCTGTGTGTACGTCCCTCTCCCTCCTTCACACAGTTTTATATCAAGACAACAAAAACGATAGCTCCCCTCAGAATCTCGTACTTATAGCGCGTGTAGATAAGTTTGCTTCCACCTCCAGACCAAGACATCAAGCTGAAAAGTATTTAACAAAGTTGCACTAAAGGTCTCCTTAAAGATTCATGTTTTATAAATGTGTTTGTTTGTCTGTATCTGTAGCTGCACACGTTCCTGGTGCTGGAGCTACTGGGAGGAGGAGAGCTCCTGGAGAGGATCAGGAGGAAGCAGCACTTCAGCGAAACAGAGGCCAGTCGCATCATGAGGAAACTGGTGTCTGCCGTCAGCCACATGCATGATGTGGGAGTGGTGCACCGAGACCTCAAACCAGAGGTAGGGTTCCAGAGACCAGAGAGAGACCAGAGAGAGACCAGAGAGAGACCAGAGAGAGACCAGAGAGAGACCAGAGAGAGACCAGAGAGAGACCAGAGAGAGACCAGAGAGAGACCAGAGAGAGACCAGAGAGAGACCAGAGAGAGACCAGAGAGAGACCAGAGAGAGACCAGAGAGAGACCAGAGAGAGACCAGAGAGAGATCAGAGAGAGACCAGAGAGAGACCAGAGAGAGACCAGATAAGTTGCGTTTCCAGCGCAAGACCAGAGCAGTTATGATGGTAAAACCAGTGGGGGAGGGTCCCAGCTCAAAAGTGGCCAAAATGACGTGCGCTGACATGCTGCAATACCACCCCGGGCCGATGGGGGTGGACCCAGAAGTAGAATTAGCCAATTCTAACATATAACATTGGCAGACCTCTCAAAAACGTCTTTACAGGATGGACCAAAAGTTGGCTCTTGGCCCAAATCTTCGTTCCATATGTGTGTCAATGCTGAGGGGGGTGGATTTTTTTTGGTCCACTCTAGTTTACTCGCGGTGAATCTTTGAAGTCTCTCGTTCAAATGAATGGAGCTGCGCCGGCTGACGCATGCGCAGATGCGTTTTTTTCACAATTTTCTTGTGGGCGGGACCACTCGCAGCCATTTTGGATTGCTCCAGCAGAGCACATTTTTTGACCCATTAGTTAGAACGGCGGAGATAGGCGTGACTCTGTCCATTAATAAATACAGTCTATGGGTAAAACAAATAAAACTGCGATTGGAACTCATGATGTTACCGAGGGGTTCTTCTCTGCAGTGGAGACACTGAGAGGACCGAGTGAGAGGACGGTTCCTGTAGATGTCCTCCTCCTTTTACCAGGAACTCCTGCGGTGGAAACGCGACTATAGAGGCCAGAAAGAGACCAGAGAGAGAGGCTAGAGAGAGATCAGAGAGAGGTCAGAGAGAGGCTAGAGAGAGATCAGAGAGAGGTCAGAGAGAGACTGGAAAGAGATTTTAGAGAGACCTGAGACAGGCCAGAAAGAGACCAGAGAGAGGCCAGAGATTTGAGAGAGAGAGAGACACCACAGAGATGCCAGAGAGAGATCAGTGAGAAAATCTTCATCACCATATCACCATGAATTACCATGTATGGTAAAGAACCAGTCTAAAAAGTTTCACGTCTAAAAAACAAAAAAGTCTCAAATTTGATTTTACAAAAGTGTCCAATCCCACACACTGCACCAAACGACGGGCTTTCAAACCCAAATGATTGTATTTCACTGAACTTCCATTTTCAAAGTCAATCCTGGATCAGTGTCTGCGAATTGCCTCATCTGACCCCAGCGCCAAACGCGCAAAACCAGTCTTCACGTCCAATTTCGTCTGCGCTCAGCGAGAAATGATTACCCCCCTGTGTGTGTGTGTGTGTGTGTCTGTGTGTTTTCAAAATTGCTCTCCCCCAGAATCTGCTCTTCACGGACGAAGGGGAGAACTCGGAGATCAAAATCATAGACTTTGGCTTTGCACGGCTGAAGCCTCCAGACAATCAGCTGCTGAAGACGCCGTGCTTCACGCTGCAGTACGCCGCGCCCGAGATCCTCAAGTATGACGGTTACGACGAGTCATGTGACCTGTGGAGCCTGGGCGTCATACTGGTGAGTGGCCAGCGGGGGGGCAGAGGGAGAGGCAGAGGGAGAGGGGAAGTATAGGCAGGTTTATCACAAGGCTGCCTACAGTAGAACCTGCTGTGATGGAAAAGATCTGTTATTCTGTTTCAGAGAAATAACATGAGAACTGACACACACTTTTTGTTCTCTCCTCTGTCCCCTTTCCTCGCTTCTTGCTCCCCTCTTCTTTTCCTCTTTCCCTTCTGCTCTCTTCTCTCTCCCCTCTCTTTTTTCCTTTCTCCCCTCTTCCTTCTGCTCTCTACACTCCCCCCTCCCCTCTCTTCACTCCTCACTCTTGTGTTTAAAAAAGGGTCGGACAAAGCAGACTCGTAAGCAGACTTACTTGGTACATACAGTATACTGTAACGATTCTCTCATTATTCACTCATAAAAGAGCCTAGACGTGGTGGCAATATTCAAAAACCTGCACAATGTTGACCTGTAGAAAGGATTTTCCAGACATGAGAATATTTTGAATCTAAATCAAGATCTAGAAAACAGCAACATTGGAAACAACATTTTCTTTCTCCTTTCAAAACTGGTTTCTTTCCCACAGAGATGTTGTGGCACCTGCTGAAACTAGAAAAAAAAACCTTTTGGGATCTCTCATGTCTGCAAGGTACAGTTTCTAATGAGCTGCAGCCGCTGGACTGATTTAAAGAGGAAAACCTGAAAAGAGGACCTAAAAATAGTTAAATATTATTGACTTAAGTGTTTTGAAGTAGCTCCCATGACAGGTCATTAAACTAATTAACAGGGAAGGACTGCAGAGACCAGTCAATAATGGACCTGTAGAGATCCAGAGAGGGAGGCCAGAGAGAGAAAGACCAGGGAGAGAGAGAGACCTGAGAGAGGCCAGAGAGGGAGACCAGGGAGAGAGAGACCAGGGAGAGAGAGACCAGAGAGAGACCAGAGTGAGACCAGAGTGAGACCAGAGTGAGACCAGAGTGAGACCAGAGTGAGACCAGAGAGAGACCAGAGAGAGACCAGAGAGAGACCAGAGAGAGACCAGAGAGAGACCAGAGAGAGACCAGAGAGAGAAAGACCAGGGAGAGAGAGACCAGAGAGAGGCCAGAGAGAGGCCAGAGAGAGAGGCCAGGGAGAGAGAGAGGCCAGGGAGAGAGAGAGACCAGGGAGAGAGAGGCCAGAGAGAGGCCAGAGAGAGACCAGGGAGAGAGGCCAGGGAGAGAGAGAGACCAGGGAGAGAAAGACCAGAGAGAGGCCAGAGAGAGGCCAGGGAGAGAGAGAGACCAGGGAGAGGCCAGAGAAAGAGAAAGGAAGTAGTAAGTACGTAATCTTTATTCATATTTATTTATGTAGCATATTTTGCAGACCAAGGTTACCCATGTCACTCTGGCATATTTTTCTTGACAAAAAACATAATGTATACTTTGTGTGCATGAAAGACTTTGTTCGAAATGTATCTTACAAATAATCACCATTTTGAGCCGGTGTGCTCATTCTAAAGTCTTCCTCCGACATTTTGTATTTGTTTTTCAGACTTTTCACAGAATATGTAATTTTATATCCAGATTCACAGTTGCCATTACCTTTTGAAAATCAAATTTAAAACCTAATTTCTGATTAGTCCCTTTCATAGCCCATGCATGTTTTTGACGGCAGTGAATGCTGGGCTCAATGGAAGATTCCCCAAAGTGCAATGACCTGATTATTGATAAAGAAAAAAATGAAACCTTTTAGAGAAACCACTGCCTTTTCACCGCATCCTCCAAAACCACATTAGGTTCAGTCAATGCTCCACGCGGGTGAAATGTGTTTTCCAATCAGAGTCTGTTGTTTGTCTGTGAAGGAGACGAGAAATACAGGATTCACCAGGACTTCTCAGATTAATAGAAGATTCTAGTGATACTATATCTGCCTATACACTTTTATGCTGTCACACAACACTCCAGATATGATGTTCAGGACTGAGGCTGTAGATCCAGGACTCGGGCTATAGATCCAGGACTGAGGCTGTAGATCCACGACTCAGGCTGTAGATCCAGGACTGAGGCTGTAGATCCACGACTCAGGCTGTAGATCCAGGACTGAGGCTGTAGATCCACGACTCAGGCTGTAGATCCAGGACTGAGGCTTTAGATCCACGACTCAGGCTGTAGATCCAGGACTGAGGCTGTAGATCCACGACTCAGGCTGTAGATCCAGGACTGAGGCTGTAGATCCACGACTCAGGCTGTAGATCCAGGACTGAGGCTGTAGATCCAGGACTGAGGCTGTAGATCCAGGACTGAGGCTGTAGATCCAGGACTGAGGCTGTAGATCCAGGACTGAGGCTGTAGATCCAGGACTGAGGCTTTAGAGCCAGGCCTACATGGACGAGCAAAAAGAGTTCTCATGCATAACATGCAGCTATTGCAAACAAACCATTTACTATAAAAACCACAACTTCCATCAACATAGAATTGATCATAAAACTAAAATCGAATCTCAACACAATATACAGTACATATTTACTGTATTTCCCTGTTCTCTTCTATACCGGAACAACACCACATCCAACTCATCAAAATTCAACCAAACACAGCAGAGGAACCACTTCTAGAACAAAACACACACAACCAGAGTGCGTGTGTCGTATTGTTGGGTTAAAGGGAGAAGAAGGCGAGAGTGGCCTGCGTCTGTTTAGATCATTTAAAGCCACTTCACTGAGTCCATTCAAACTGTGCCCATGATCTACAAAAGTGTGGGCAGCCGTGATCGGTCAAGGGCTCTCCACCACGGCCCATTTATTATCACTCATTTGTGTCATAATGGGCAGAGGGGAAATGGCCATTGAGGACAAACACCCGAGACGCTGATTGAGAGAGTTTTGGAATAGGTCTAATTGTAATTATTCCCATAAGTGCGGCAATTTATGTGTTGAAATCAGACTCGGATTGAAACACGTCTGCGAGCTTCGATATGTGAGAGAGGACTGGTGCTGACATACAGAGGTTATCAAAGTCTCTCACTGATCACTCTTACTGTGTCTCTCTCTCTGGTCTCCCTGGTGTGTCTCTGGTCTCTCTCTCTGGTCTCCCTGGTGTGTCTCTGGTCTCTCTCTCTGGTCTCCCTGGTGTGTCTCTGGTCTCTCTCTCTGGTCTCCCTGGTGTGTCTCTGGTCTTTCTCTCTGGTCTCCCTGGTGTTTCTCTGGTCTCTCTCTCTGGTCTCCCTGGTGTGTCTCTGGTCTCTCTCTGGTCTCCCTGGTGTGTCTCTGGTCTGTTTCTCTGGTCTCTCACTATGTGTCTCTCTGATCAATAATGTTGTATTCTTTAGTATTGTATTCTCTCGGAATACAACACTATTGATGCATTGGTAGTTCATTTATATGTCCTTGAGGTGATCTCTAAAACCTCCTGTATTGTCTCTGGTGCAGTAAGTAATCTTTATTTATATATCGCCTTTCACAGACCAGAGTCACAAAGCGGTTTACAATTGTGGGCATTTGTCTCTCACTCCACACAGAGATGGGAGCGAGGTCGCCAGTACAGGAGGTACATGTTTTTAGTGGTAGAGTAAACCGGGGAGAACATGCAAACTCCACTCAGAAAGGCCCTGTTCTGACCGGGATTCGAATCCAGGACCTTCTTGCTGAGAAGCGAGAGTGCTATCCACTCAGCCCCCGTACTTCAGAGTGGAGCACCTTCAGGGTCTGAGGTTGTGTTTGTGTGTTCTCTGGTGCAGTACACGATGCTGTCGGGGCAGGTGCCGTTTCAGTGCCAAGAGAAGAGTCTGGCGCACACCAGCGCAGAGGAGATCATGAAGAAGATCAAACACGGAGACTTCTCGTTCCAGAGCGAGGCCTGGAGGAATGTGTCGCAGCAGGCCAAGGACCTCATCCAGGGTAACACAAAATTACACCATTCACACAACTGTACTCATCTTTACATACACACACACACACACACACACACACACATACACGTTTTTGTTACCTGGTGGGTCCCTTTGACAGGGCCGTTCAGAATGGGACCCATAGACATAATCTTTTTTTACCAAGACTTTAAGTAATACAAAACAGTCAATAGAAACCAAACAACTATTTTAAAGGAATTTTATTTTAGATTTTGTTTTCGAATTGCAGTGATTCTATTTTTGACATAGAATTTAATGCCACTCCATGTCCGATGTCTAAGGTCATCTGGTGAGGCATTAATGCAGGCCAGGCAGTGAGACTTCCCAGGGACCTTTCCAGTCTGTATGAAAGGTGTCATGGTCTTCTCCACAGCCTTCACCTCAGATGCAGACCATGGCTTTCTTACACGTTCTAGGGAGAGAAATATAAAAATATATTAGCAATATACACTCCCAGGGTGAGGACCAAGCAGCCTGGCTGTAATCCCCCACCTGGTACACTTACCAGAAGGGGCACTGCCACTACCATGGGGTGCATCTGGATGAATGGTTGAAGGTTCTCCGCTTGAAGTTTCTTTTAGCCCGTCCGTTTGTGAGAGGATCTCTACTGCTCTCCCTGTCGCACAGAAAATAAAAATACAAGTGGCCTTTAGGGGAAAAAAATCATACATATTTTAATAATATCAAGAATTACCTTCAGGCTCAATTTGTATCTGGTCGAGGCTCTTTCCTTCGAATTCCGTCACTCTTCCCTGCTCCATGGCCATCAACACTTTGCTGATTTTGGCCAGCTCCAGTGTCCCCTCTGGTAGTCTGTAATATTGCCTGTGGATGCGAATGTCATGGCCGAGGAAGTTGGCAAGTATGTCCATCTCATTCTCTTTCATATTGAGAACTGTAGACATAGTAGCTATGTGCTTTCTAAGTTTGGTTGAGGATAGCATCTCTGGATGCACCGCACCACATTCTTTGGCTACCTGGCGTAGGGAGTCTGATCCCCTGATGTGGGTGTCTGCGCCCGGGCGGGAAAAGAAGTATGGGTTATGGTCAGAGATGGAACAGGCCCTTCTGTTCTCCACCAGCACCTCCATCGAAGCAATCATTTCAGGAGTCAAAAGAACCGGCACTTTCCGACTTCTTTTCCCTTTAATTTCAATGCGTTGAAAATGCTGACACAGCTTTTTCTCAAGTTGGGACAGTCCCAGAGCAATGTCAGAATGGATCCCAGTCTTACTTCTTAAGGTAAAGGCTGTCAGTGGCATCTTTGAAACCTCACCTTCCCTTCTTCGATTGAAAATGATGACCTCACAAAGAGTCAAAACTGCCAGTTTAGACCAATGCTTAGACGTTGGCTCACTTATTAGGGTTTGCACATATTCAGGTCGACATACCTCAATATGTGCATGCATGGCTCTAACGTCCTCAGTCAGAGGGAGCAGGTCCGGAGTGTTCCACTTGGCTTGCCGGAGGGTCTGTAGGGCAGCAGAAGAAACACAGACGTCCCACCTCTTCTCAAAAAGCAGCCGGCTTCGTTGGAGGTTTTTAATAAATAGTTCATCAACACAATGCTCCATTTTTGAGTCACATTCAAGAATATCTGCTAGCTTTCTGAGGCTATGGCCGAGTTTGAGGGCCAAGGATGGAGTCTTGTATTGATTTGTTTCCTCATCATATCCAGCCACAGACCTGACTGCATCAATCACATGGTTAAAGTTGGAAGGAATAAAGAAATCCCTGCGGTTTTTGCTTCGTTAATTAACCTACCGACTTCTCTCATTTTCTGCCTAATGTAATCATGCTTTGTCTTATCATGCCCGTGTTTTAAGTACAGGTGCTCTCCGAGTCTCAGAATCCCCTTTTCTGCTTTGACAACACCCGTGACCTCATCCTGATGCATTGCCGAAATTAAAGACCACAGCTTTTTGCTGATGCCCTCCGGTACAGGCTGGGCTAGGGAGCAGAGGGACTGGACCCTACTTCTACCTGGTTTAGCCTGGGCATCTTTCTGTGAAAGCCGGCACCTGGCCACATGCCTCCACAGCGACTTTCGCTTAAGCAATGCCCCACAGTCTATACAGTGCAAAAACTCACTGGATTTAACTGGGGAATTTGGCTGTTTAGCTGGGACTAAAGTTCCAATGCCGGCCTTTAAAACCTCAAAATTGTGCTCACGGTTTCCACTATTCCTGATCAAATCAAACTGAAGTTTACGTGCTTTAGATTTCACAGGTAGAGCCAATGCTCTGGCTACGTCACTTTCATTTCCATGTTTTCTAGTCAAATGACGGGACATTTTGTGGCAGGACATTGAACAGTAGAGGCAGAAGTGTCTCTTGCTGTATACTCGCCCCCCATTTTTCTTCTTTTGCAGCTGCATGATAACAATCTTATTTGCCTTTGGTTCGTCACTTTCCGAGTCTTGAAGAAAAGTGTTTTTGATTTTTCTTTTTCCATACTTTTTTACAGGTTTCTTCTTGACAGTTAAATTGTCAGAATCTGAGTCGACTTCATCAATTAGGGACTCTTGACTAAGCTGCACAAACAACAAATAATTTGTAATCATTCTATATAACAATTTGAAGTCATGACTTGTAGTCAGCACTTACCAGTGGTTTGTAAGCGTGCGCTTCAGTGTGCTCCTCCATGATTTCTTGCAGCCTAATGAACCACACACTTGCACCTTTTTCTAGCCTGACACCTGATTTCCTCTGTTGTGCTGCTCCATGATTGGCTCCAGCCTGCTGGACTGAAATTGCCCCAGTGTGCCCCTCCTTGATATCCCGCAACCCACCACCAGGGTTCCGACACATAACACACTTTTTTCAGGAAAGTAAACCTCCAGGGGTCCTTTCCATATTTTTACAGAGACTGCATAAGGACCGTTAGAAAAGCATTACCCATTGATTATTAAGCTTGGACCAGTGGGGTCCGGTGTTCGGGCCCCACCACGTAAAACCAGTCCCCATGACGTGAGTGGAATCTCAGGTTATGGAACCCACCAGGAGTTGAAAACAAGTGCACACACACACACACACACACACACACACTATAATGCTATCATAATATTATGCAGAACTTTACTGGGATTAAACACAGGGGCGACAGTAGCTCAGTTGGTAGAGCATTGGTCTTAGAGCCTGAAGGTTGTGGGTTCGAGCCCACCACAAGACCTACTTCATGATTCCCAGTGATGACTGCTGTTGTTGTGTGCTTGGGCAAGACACTTAAGCCCACTTTGACAGAAGCCCCTGCTGAATAATCAAGGCTCCTGTGGACTCACCACCTGCAGAAGGATCAAGGATCATGCTCTGTGTACTGGCTGCAGCTCTGACTGTCACCCCCCCCACCCAGAAATGGATCAAGGGGCCAGAAAATGGATGGATAGGGGTTTTTGGCCATCTCTAATCTCTCTCTCTCTCTAATCTGTCTATGGTCTCTTTCTGGTCTCTCTCTCTGATTTATCTCTCTCGGGTCTCTCTAGTCACCAGACAAGTACATAAATAAATCAAGCTAAAAAAGTACATGAACCAGTTCACTGTGAAACCAATCAACAAAAACAGCTTCAATAATAACAAATCACTCGGAACCTATTTATATTAAAGTAGTGGTCTTTTCTCCCTCTCTCTCTTTCACTCTCTCTCTCTCTCTCTCTTCTCTCTCTCTCTCTCTCTCTCTCTCTCTCTCTCTCTCTCTCTCTCTCTCTCTCTCTCTCTCTCTCTCTCTCTCTCTCTCTCTCTCTCTCTCTCTCTCTCTCTCTCTCTCTCTCTCTCTCTCTCTCTCTCTCTCTCTCTCTCTCTCTCTCTCTCTCTCTCTCTCACTCTCCCTCTCTCTCCCTTAGAGCTGCTGACGGTGGACCCAAACAAGCGCATAAAGATGTGTGGTCTGAGGTACAACATGTGGCTCCAGGACGACTCGCAGCTGTCGTCCAACCCCCTCATGACGCCCGACATCCTGGGCTCGTCCACCGCCTGCGTGCACACCTACGTCAAGGCCACTTTCAACGTGAGGTCCCCACACAGGCTGCAGTTTATCCATTAAAGCTGATCCAAAGCTGTGGCAGAGACTAAAAAAATACATGACTGTGAAAAATGTGATAGAAGTGATTGAACTGTTTTAGCCAGGAGATAGATAACATTATTTGTGTTTTGAAAGCTTTAAAGTGACCCTAGCTTGATACACTTCCTGGATATTCCACAGGCGTTCAACAAGTGCAAGCGCGAGGGCTTCCGACTGCAGACTGTGGACAAGGCGCCGCTGGCCAAACGCCGAAAGATGAAGAAGACCAGCACGAGCACGGACACACGCAGCAGCTCCAGCGAGTCCACGCACTCCTCCAGCTCATCTTCCCAGTCTCACGACAACAAGAACTTCCAAGATGGCGACACGCACAGTCTCCAAAGCAACAGGCCGCCTGCCACTCCGCTGACCACGCCCGTAAACACCCCTCTGACCCAGAATCAGGACGACAGCTCAGCGGCACCCCCTGCCTTCCCCTTCACAGACACGCAGTGAACGATACACACTTGCGTGAATCAGATTTTTGTCTTTGTCGGAGAAAAAGAAAAGTGCCGTACTTTCTGGACTCTAAGGCGCACCTGCTTATAAGCCGCACCAGCTACATTCTTAAAAGAAAATAAATGTTTTCCACATATAGGCCACGCTTGAATTTTAGCTGCAGGTTTTCAGTAGCAGAGAGACCACTGTTTTAACTGGACACAACATGATTAAAGGACAAGGTGTTTATTAGCTTCACCGTTAGCTTCTATCGTTAGCTTCCATCACTCACAATCTATTATGGCAGTAAACGTTCTAAAGCTACTAAAACTTGCCCTCACTAATCAAAAGCTAATGAAGTGCTGATGAAGTAATGTAAAAGTGTCAGTTAGTAGTTAGCTAGATGTTGAATAAGGCCATGTAGAATCCGGACTAAAAAGAGCTTGATAAATACCTATTACTTAAGTTAATTAACCACATATTATACACTATTACACACTTAATTAGCTGTTTCTTAGTGAGGGTTAATACCAAACACATGTATGACCAATTACACACACAAATTAGCCACATTGCTATATAAGCCGTAAGGTGCAAAGAACTAGAAAAAACTAGCGTCTTATAGTCTGGAAACTACGGTAGTTTGTTTTTAACCCTTTGGCTCAATAACTGCATGGATTCTGCATGAGAACGCCAAAGCATGAGCAGAAGCACTGGCTTAACCTCAACAACCATCGTTAGCAATAGCCAACGTTTAGCTTTCCTCGTCCTGACGTCATAACCTTGTTCATCAGGGAGGTTTCTGTGCAATCTATGTTGTCCAAAAAAATGAAAAAAGGAACGGGGAATATACACTTGTAAATAGAAAAAGTCCCGATCCAGTCCAAGCTGCTTTTTAGTTTAGAGACAATGTTAATGATGGAAAGAGGAGGTTTTAAAGCAGTGACAATCGATTTTTTATTAATAATTAGTTTTGCTTCTGTGATGTCTCGACGAAGGCTTATCAACGAATTAGCTAGCATCGGACGGTTGATGCTCTAACATAGAAGTAAATTAATGGATGCTGGGAGTTCTAGTAGTTTCAGAATCCTTGTGTTAAATCTGCTTCATCTGTTGCCGGGTCGCTGGGGCAGCAGTCTAAGCAGAGACGCCCAGAATTCCCTTTCCTTTTAGTTAGACCTCACAAGACACTAACAGCCCTCCTGCAATTGCAAGGAACAATTCCAAACCGGCAGACAATGGGACAGCGGATGAATAGCAATGAACAGACTACAGCTGAAGACATAATGATGACAGAGACAGTAGAAGAGGATGGTGATGTTACCATACTTCTCCAGCAGGGGGCTCCATATGCAGCATCACTGACAACCTGTGTTTGGACTTAAGGTTGTATGTTTTTATAAGTCTAACCTGAGTCTTACCTACTGAACCATATGTTAAATTAAAGAGGACTGTTGCCTAATAACAGTTAAAGTTCTATAACTAAAACCCATCAAAAAGACTTCTTTGTGAGTTCTAGTGTTGACTTTAACTTAAACAAAGAACAGTAGGTGCTCCTCATACTTTATACATATATTAATTCCAGCATAAGGCCAGTCCATTATGGTGGAAGTAAAGCAAAGTCAGTGGATTCTCGGAACCTCAGAGTCTGGATCGGGACTTTTTCTTCTCTTCTCACGACAGCGATAAACTCAAGGGCTGCTGCTGCCATGTCGCGACACAGAACCTCCAGAACCTTTGCCGTCTCCGTCCTCCGTCCAAAGGGAAAAGTCGCGTGTTTACGTCAAAAAAGGGGGAAAAAACCATAGGAGTTATGCAGTGGTGCGATCGCGGGTCCACGCACACATCTCTTCTGCCTGAGGAGGTTCTGCAAGTTTCAGAGTATTTATATGTGAATTTTTAAGAGTTCTGTTTTTATAATAAGCTATATTATTAATTTATTTATGTCTGTGAGAGAGAAAAAGAGAAAAATTATCATGCAGAGAGTCAAAGAGATATTTTATTGTCGTCCAGTCAAGTTTTATATGTCGTTTTCAATGTCTGGCTTCAGTAGAAATGCAATTTTTCGATGTTTGTGTTTTATGAGCAGACTGATAAGAGCCCAATGGTTCTCAAAGTGTGGTGCGCAGGGTTCTTTTTGTCCCTATAACATTTTATACTCGTTCCCCTTTGGATCAGTCCTGGTTTAAAATCTGCTTACAGTTAAGATAGGCATAGTTTTTTAGACCAACAACCACTAATATTAAAGGGGACGTCCACAGCTTCTATTGTATTTTATTTTTAATTTATTGCATATATTTGACCAAGGGACAATGTACTCTCATGTACTCTAAGGCGTCTTCAACAATATTATAAAACAGCCCCGACCATTCGCAGAACTACCACCAGTAAGATTTTCTGGAGGAGAACTTTTTAACCAATGTCGAGGGACTTCAAGGATTTGAATACATTTTTGACCAATCAAAAGGCTATTAGGATGGGCGGGTCTGACTCGCACTTGGGTCTAAGTCGCAAGTCTATTTTTTTGATTGAATGGACTTCAATTCTCGTCATTGATGTTTTCTGTTCTCGTTCTGTGTGTTCTGCATGTGTCAAAAAGCAACAAAAGCACTTTTTACAAAAATCACACTGAGGCTTGTGTTTAGAACTTGCTTCACCAGACAGTTTTAAAGCAGGAAATACACATTGAGAATGATATGTATTTAAAGAGACAGTATTTCATATTTTCTTTGTAAAATGATTTCCACATCTTGTAGTGTCCCCAGATAACGTGTCACATGTACAAGTCCCAGCGTAGTTATTCTTCATTAAAATTACAATGGAAACAGATTATCCAATGAGAGAGCAGAATGAGGTTCTTGTTGGGGTTGCCAGTTTGTAAGTGCCAGAGTTCCTGGTTTTGGCTCTATCTCTGTTTTCCCTTTAAATTCATACACAAAAACCACACATATTGAAGAAAAAGCAGATGCAAGAATAAGTATCATATATGCACAGTAGACTGTTATTGTAATGATTTAACTTGACCACTAGGTGCATATCACATACGGGATTGGCGCTACTCGTGATTGGCTCTTGGTAACTCTGCTGTTGCTAACATCAAAATTAGCGTAAATTTGGCTGCACATTCCCAATCAAGCTAGCTCTACTCGGCCTCTTCCACATTAAGACTAACACATGGGTATAAGAGAGGAGAACCTTTATTTGTCCCACAGTTGGGAAATTTCAATGTTGCACCGCACATAGGGAGCCCACAAAATATACAATATTAGTCGCTGCTATGTTTCTTAACTAGCTGTAAAGGCTTCAATATCAATCCATACAGTCTAATAAACAGTCAATGGTCTGGAGTAAGAGCTGAAACCAGGAAGCTAAAACTTATTTTTTTTTCTCTTTTAGGTTTTTTCCGTTGTTTCCACACTGAGCTGGTTCAGAGCAGTTTAATAATATGTGTGCTTTACATCGGGGACGTGAGCCGCCGCAGGGACTTGACCCAAAAGAGCGCAGCTATTTTTAGAGCCGGGCTTTGTGAGCGAATGTGACACGCTGTAATGAGGATGCGCAATTACAATGCTATAGAACCACATCATCTCCAAGAACAGACCACAGGAAACGGCTTGTATAAGTATTAAAGATCATAATAGATAGATTAGAATACTCTTCCCTTTAACTCATTGTCATCTAAAAAAACACTGTCACCTCTTAATCTTCTTCCATTGAAATCAGCAATTTGAATCAAAGCACAAGATCCAAACCTTAATTTTGACACATATATGCAACAAAAGGCTTTCATTTTCGCTCTATTTATCTATTTATCATCTCCTGCAACACTTTGAGAACCTTTTTTCTTGTTCAAAAGAGTTTATATGTTGTTTTTAATTGCTTCTTGTCTTGGTCTAGTCCAGTGTGAACTACTTGCATTTTAAAAGGAGGCCACAGAAAAAAGCCTTATTTTTGTTTAAGGCTTTTAAGGGTTCTTTAATGAGACAAAGAGTGTGAAGAAGCTAGTACTGCTTTTTTCTACATGTTTCGGCTGCAGACAAAGCAACTTCATATCAGCAATAGAGAAAGTCACATAATGGACTGAGACAATGCAGAAATATTAAGAACAGAAGGACAGAGCTGCAAAAGATGTAGACGAGAGGAGATTGAAATCAGAAAGCTGGGTGCATGGACCATCATCAAGGATGAGGGGTCCGATACCTTGCCTCACACTTTGGACTCACACAGGGGAGCGTGGCCAGAATTGCAAAGAACACAAACCATGCTCAAGCTGATTGGCGCACAGTAGCCTAGTGTAAACAGAAAGAGAAACGGAAACTTATTATGGACCTAGAGATTGTCGCTGAAGTAGACCCTAAGTTCTGACCGTGCACTGAGGTTGAGCTTGTGACCGCAGCCTAACAGCCAGAGAACAATCGAGGACGCTTTGGGCGAGCTCGCACTCACATTGCAAAAGGCTGAGCGAATTAAGAAATGCATTGTAGATTTATTAATCCCATCAAATTAAGAATTGTATAGATAAAATCCTTAAATTGTTGCAGCAAAACAGAACTGTTAAAACTTGGATTTTAACATTGTCAGAGAAGAAGCCTGTCTCACATTTTCAGGAAGACTGTTCCAGATTTTGCTGCAGTCCCTGTGCTCCTTAGCAGCACGAGCTTCTTTACACTCTTTATCCTATTATAAAAAAGCCAGATTGTTATTGCATTATCATATTTCAGTCTCTCTTGTGTGATGACATCACTGTGCTTCCAGCTTTATAATAATAATAATTATTATCAGATTTATTATGATTTATTTTTACACCTGATTAGTGCAAAACTATCATCAATATTCCATGTTTCCAGAGAAAGACAAACCTGAACATCCTAAAAACATCTTTAGTCCCTTGTGCTTTAAAGTTTGGACTTTTCTCAAATCTATGCATTTCTTTTGTTTTGTAGAGGAGTGTTAAAGTTAAAGCCCAAGTGTGTAACATTTCAGATAATAACGGGTCTGATACGAAAGCATTTATTTCT